AATAAATCCTAAAATTAGGATAACCTTTGGCCGCTTTCTTGTTGGCTCGACACATTCGAATGCCTGGTCTCTCACGCGCTTCCGATAATCGCGGAGATATTTAGCAGCCATGTGTTGAGACATTTTGAAAATTTCTACAAAATTTCTCAATAAACACTTGTTTCACTTCGAATATTGACTCTATCCAACGCGGAGTGTAAACACTGAAGCACTAACAGTACCAATTGGAATTTACAGAGAATGCTACACACAGTGCTGCATAATCACGATGGTGTTTCAATATGATGTCTGTGCTTGGGAAACAATCACAAAATGCACAGATTCCTCCCATCATGAGTAGTTTGCTATCAAGTAGCGACACTCTCTTTTTGCGTAGTTTACCAATGTCAATACCTTGAAAGCAAAGGGCAATTAATGAGTTATTAACGAAAGATGAAGAGAATCGATCAACATCACTTGCACCTCTGCTTCCAAGTTTGGTTACAAGATTACAACTCTGGAGAGCATTTTGTGAAGTCGTTGGGGGCTGTGGTTTTGAATATGGAAAACAGGCACAGATAAATTATATTCCAACTCTTTACTGTAATAAGCTTGTTGGCCCTGAAAAGGGCCGTTTTGTTGCCAAAGTTGGTGATGATTTAACCTCCGAAACCGTACAGAGTGCGTCTGTCGCTTCAAAGCGTAGACGAAATCCATGGCCGCTTACGCTTGGCGTGTTCAAAGTAGGTGATAGCATCACGGATCACATTTTCCAGGAACACCTTCACCACAACTCAGACCGGAGATACGACCTTTTCCTCCTTTACCACGACCAGCCATAGTTGCTTGTTAGGTAGCTACTGCTGCTATTGCTGCTTCTGCTGCCTGCACACCACGCCGTCCGAAGCGAAAATGAGTTAAAATATATTCCCCGTGCACACTTCAATGCCCATCCCACCTCCATTGAACATTTTTTTATGAATAACACGTTTAACCAAATCATTGATCGCAGTAGGATACCTTCGGTGGGAAATCGTTCACAAGCACGTATTGCACATCCCAGCCCAAGTAACATTGTAAGAAATTTTCAATTTTCAAAAATTCATCCATCATAGCAGGATCATAATTCTAAATGTTCATTGGATAGCTTAACGTCCGAATTTAGCACATAATGAGGAACTAGAACTATAAGTATTCAGAAATATATCTCTTAACTTTTTGCCATCCTTGCACAAAAACACAAAAACGCTCCAACCCATTTTCAGAGGTTTTATTTGTGTAGGACCGAACTAAACACAGCACCACCCAGAAACGCGCTAATCCACTTGGTGCATGACTTTTGTAACAAACAACAATGTAAAGCTCTACCATGATGTTTTAACCGTCCCTCTGAATCCTACTTCAACACAGGGACGGCCCAAAATCATCAAAATTCAGTTCGCCAAGCAGGATCTCACGAACACCAGCGTGTAAATTTATTGGATTTTGACAGTTCTTACAGTAATGCATCTGTAATTTGTATGCAACATCGGACGTCTCTCCTTCTTACATATTACAGGGCTGTTAGTGAGTCACTTTTTAGTGACTTGGTCACTTTTTTCAAGCCAGTCACCAAAAAGTCTCTTTTTTTTTGGCCTCCGGAGTCCAACGTAGGCACGATTCCCTGCCATAATGCGTCTTTGAATTTCTCTGCTGGTATCATTTTCGGCGGTCACCAGTGAGCCCAAATACACGAACTTATCGACCACCTCGATTTGGTCACCGTCAGTCTGAACTCGGGGTGGGAGGATAACATTGTCTTCCCTAGAACCTCTTCCTTTCATGTATTTTGTCTTTGATGCGTTGATGGCAAGTCCAATTCGTTTAGCTTCAGCTTTCAGTCTGATGTACGTTTCCGCCATCATCTTAAAGTTTCGTGCCATAATGTCAATGTCATCGGCGAAGCCAAGGAGCTGGATGGACTTCCTGAATATCGTGCCACTCGTGTCTATCCCAGCTCTTCTGAACACACCTTCTAACGCGATGTTGAACAGCAGACACGAAAGTCCATCACCCTGCCGTAACCCCCTTCGAGATTCAAAGGGACTCGAGAGTGTCCCCGATACTCGAACAACGCACATCACTCGATCCATCGTCGCCTTGACCAATCGCGTCAGTTTATCCGGAAGTCCGTACTCGTGCATAATCTGCCATAGCTGATATCGATCGATTGTGTCGTATGCGGATTTGAAATCGATGAACAAATGATGTGTGACCGCGCGGTAGTTGCAGCAATCCAACTTGTCGCCCTTTTTGTAGATTGGGCATACGACACCTTCCATCCACTCCTCCGGTAATATCTCCTCCTCCCAAATCTTGGCAATTACCCAGTGCAGCGCTCTAGCCAGTGCTTCACCACCGTATTTTAATAGCTCACTTGGTAGTTGATCTACACCAGTTGCTTTGTTGTTCTTCAGCCGACCGATCTCCTCCTCAACTTCTTGAAGATCAGGGGCAGATTTTCCATCGCTTCGCGATCTCGGTCTTCCTGCTGACGCTTCTTCCTTCGGAAAACCGATTTTTGTCTGTTCCGCGCTAGAGAATATCAACCAAGTTCCATTACTTAAAAAAATGCGAGAACTTTTAGCAAGCAGCGATATCTCCAAGAAATTCCAGAGAACATCTAATAAATTTAGATAGTTTCATGATATTCAGCGAAGTTCCGAGTACTTCGAGGACGATCAGATAGCTTCAGAATAATCCCATTAACTTAAGCAAATTTGCAGCAACTTACAAGGAATTCCGTGGAATTATGGGGTATTCCAAGAATTCTATGATTGATTCGACAACGTCATAGAATTTTGAATATATATCAGAAAATTTTCCGGATTATTGAACAAATTTAGAGAACTTCTGGTAAGCATAGATAAAGTAAGAAAATAAGAGAGCTTTTATAATGGTTAGAATACTTAAGGAAAATTTTCGAAACTTCAAGGCACATCAATTAATTTCAGTTAAGTTGCGGTTTCTTAAAATATACTGATAAACTCAGGGCAGTCTGGAGAACTTTAAAGATATTCAGTAATCGTTTATGCAGTTTTAATAACACCATGAAAGTCTAGACTATTGAAAAAATTTTAAATTAGTGTCGATAATTTATTGGAAGTTTTATGTTTCATGAAAATTGCGGAATCACAAAGGTTCCAGAAATTTAGAAAAACTTCGAGAACTTCACAGTGGTCTTCAGAAACATTTCGAGAATCTTATAGAAATCTATGGAGCTTAAGGGGAGATCCACGAGCTTCAGGAATTTTTATGAGCATTAGCAAAATGCAGGAGCTTTTGAAAGAAGTGAAGTAACCTCCGAAAATTGGAGGAATTTCGAGGGGAGTTCAGTTTCATTAGTTTCAGAAAATTAGTGGGAAATTTAAAGCAGTTCCCAGATTTTCAAATAACTTCAGAGACGTTAAAAAGTTAATTGAAGTGTTCGCATTAGTTCAGAAGTTCACTGAAGCTTAAAGATTTTTAGGACGGTTCAGTTAAATTCAGCGCAGTAAAACAAGCTTCATGAGAACTGCAAAAAACATTAGAGAAGTTTTGAGAATTTCAGAAAAGAACAGAGAACCTTACAGCAGTTCCGTTAATAAAGGGTGATACGGGCAAAATTTGGTCAATATCAACTTGACGTATTTCTTTCAATTTTGCATTTAAAAAACCTGAACACCCCTCATTTTGAAGGTGTGTGTGTGTAAAATGTTGCTCCTATTTTGATTTTGGAATTCACTCTTCAGTTGTCAAAATGCCGTCCAAGCAAGAAGAGCAGCGTATCAAAATTTTGCTCGCGCATCGCGAAAATCCGAGCTACTCGCACGCAAAGTTGGCAAAATCGCTAAAAGTTGCCAAATCAATCGTTACAAATGTAATTAAAGTGTTTGGGGAACGTTTGTCGACAGCCAGGAAGTCTGGATCGGGGGGAAATCGAAAACCGGAAGCCGCTGAGACGACAAAGAGAGTTGCCGGTAGTTTCAAGCGAAACCCTAACCTCTCTCTCCGAGATGCCGCAAATAAGCTGGGTGTATCGTCTACAACCGTGCATCGAGCCAAAAAACGAGCCGGACTATCGACTTACAAGAAGGTAGTGACTCCAAATCGCGATGATAAACAAAATACGACGGCCAAAGCGCGATCCCGGAGGCTGTACACGACGATGCTGACGAAGTTTGACTGCGTGGTAATGGACGACGAAACCTACGTCAAAGCCGACTACAAGCAGCTTCCGGGACAGGAGTTTTATACGGCAAAAGGAAGGGGAAAGGTAGCAGATGTTTTCAAGCACATGAAACTGTCAAAGTTCGCATAGAAATATCTGGTTTGGCAAGCCATCTGTACCTGTGGCTTGAAAAGCAGCATTTTCATAGCTTCCAAGAAATTTACGTGAAAGAGTGTTTGAATAAACGTCTGCTGCCTTTCCTGAAGAAACACGGTTGTTCCGTACTGTTTTGGCCGGATTTGGCATCTTGCCATTACGGTAAAAAGGCCATGGAGTGGTACGCCGCCAACAACGTGCAGGTGGTTCCCAAGGACAAGAACCCTCCCAACACGCCAGAGCTCCGCCCAATTGAGAAATACTGGGCTATTGTCAAGCGGAACCTAAAGAAGACCAAAAAAAACTGCTAAGGGCGAGCAGCAGTTCAAGGCAAACTGGCTTTCTGTGGCAAAGAAGGTGGACAAGGTGGCTGTACAAAATCTGATGGCAGGGGTCAAGCGTAAGGCCCGGCAATTCGGATTTGGAAAAGCGGAAGCCTAACTGAATATTTTTCCTGAATTTTATACTTATTGAACTTGAAAAAGAAATTTAATTTGATTTTTTAAATAAACGATTTCACCGATTTACACGCGTTTTCCCTTGACCAAATTTTGACCGTATCACCCTTTATTAGAGAAGTCACATAAATTTTAAAGAAGTTTAGAGAACTTCAGCGTTAATCCTTTAGAGGAGATCAAGGAGAAAACATTTAGGAAACTTTAGGAAGACTTAAAAGGTCCAGGGAAGTTTTAGAATTTGTGAGGCTCAATCTACCAAGATGTTCTGGAGTTATTTTCAGATTTCATTGTAATCCTCCTTTAAGAATTAAAAAAAAATCCAAGGACTTATGCTCCGGATTCGTTTTCTCCTACAATCTTTATGAAGCTATGCTCAGAATGCCCTTGGCATTTTACTCTAAAGCTTCTCCTCAGAAATTCATTGAAATTTACTTTTAGCTCAATTCAGGGTTTATTAAAATTCTACTCAAAATTATCAGGCTGCAATTGAAATCTAAAATTCCTCAGAACTACCTTGAAAGCAGATTGCACTTGATGTTTTTGTCTAAATTATTATTTTCCCAGAACTCCCTTGGAATGAGGTCCTTAGAAATTATAATAAAATTCCACAAGCCTTTAAAACTGTCCATGGAATTTGCCTCCAGATTCTTAAAAATTTCTTTTAGTATCATAGCTTTTAAATCCAGAATTAGTTCAAATTTAATATTTCTAGGAAATATGCATGTTTCAAAACCAAAAAAAAAACAACATTTCAAGTATGTTTGTTTTTAATTTATTTGTTACTGAAGATTAATCCACTGTGCATCTATAAAATTCGAAGTGTGAATAAAAATAACGAGAAAAATACATGCTTGTATTTTAAAATTAATTATTTTCTTTAAAATATCCTTATACATTATTAAATTTTCTGAGACTTCCAGGTATTTTAGGAATAAATAAAATTTCCTAAGGATTCCCGGTTTTCCAAGTTTTTTTTTCAGGTCGTAGACACCCTGACAAATACCGTGGGTTTGGACTATAAACTTTCTATTGAATCTTTCACTTTAAAGGTTCATATCGTACATAAGTGTTTATGAGATACTAATTGAATAAGTCTAAAACATCAAACATTTATTTAGTGTGTCATCATAACTACTACTTTTCTTCTCTTAGGCCACTTTTAGTCACTATTTTTACAACTATAAGTCACTATTTGGTCACTTATTTCATCAACATGGTCACTAAAATCACTATTTTTAACAACAGTGATTGCTACCAGTCCTGATATTATGCAGAAAAAAATACATCCGAAGTCTCTCCTTTTTTTACATATTCTGCACAGAAAATAGTTTCTAAGCTCCACCTCTGACAGGATTTTCCACTATTTTGTAGGTGTCAGAGGTACAGCATCCATGACATGCAAATTTTTTCTCTGCTTGAATTTTTGGCTCTTTTGGCGGGTGAAAAAATTAACGTCAATTCTTCTTAGGTTGTCGTCATAGGAGGATGGGGGGGGGGGGGGGTTTGTTATATAAAAATGATATTTGTCGCGTTTCAATAACTCTTTCTGTTAAATATGTGTGGTCCTGAATAGGACCAATTGTTCGATCTCCACAAATTCCACATGTTCTCCACCTCATCGTTGGTTGTCATCAAGGTGATCACGCTGACTGCTGCTATTTTACCACACCGTCCGTCCGATGTGAAAATGGGCGGATTCACAACAGCAGCGCTCTAGCCTGACTCCAGTAATGTGCAGCAGAGGCAGAGGGAAAAATTCCACCTTTTCCTGATTTGCTCCTGTCTCTGCTAGCCACGCCTTCCGAAGCTTTAATGAGCGGAGGAACGACAGCTGAGCTCTTGTGTAGTTTTACAGGTTCAAGCAAAACGATGCGCGACCAAATGGTACTGGATTAGGACGACTTGGTTTGGGGAGAACGTTTATTTCATTGAAACGGTGATGAAATTATCGCTTTTTATTTGTACATTTTTCAACGATTTAAGTTGAGAAAATTGAAAAGGTATTTATTGCAGCAGATTGTGAGAGTTATTACCTATCGATTGGCGTATTTGGATTTTAATTTCAACTATCAATGACAAAGTTATAAGCGTTCAAAACATTACAATTTTTCGTGACGGTCGCAATACTAGATTTTCGATTTACCCCAGTACCTTCCCGTGAGACGTAGTCAAAAATTGGAGAATTTCATAGCGAATAGCAAACTGTATGGAAAATGTATTTTAAAAAAGTTTCAGGGAGTATCATTGAAGTTGAGGTAATTTCAGAGAAGTGAGAGGTATTTCATAAGAGATCGGGGAAGATCTAGTAGTACTAATAATTTCATAGTATATTAGAGAACTTCATGGAAATCTATGGTTCTTCACAAAGACTTTAGGTGGCTCAGGTACTATTCTGATGAAGATCTCAAACTTCCACAATTTAAATCACATCTACCAGATATTCTTTGATGATGCCAGGTGACTCAGAAAATATTCCAAAGGCCTTCAGGTGATCAAAGATCTCCAAAAACTGCTCAGGATGTTCTCATGTCTTCAGTTTTTTTTTCCTTTGGTTTGTTTTCCGTCGATCTTGTTTTCCGTGCTGAGCAGGTCCCACACCTGAACCCTACCTATCGACCCATCAACTCATGAACCGGGGACCAATGGCTTTACTTCCCATCCGAAGGAAGGCGTGATCAGAGATGTTATGCCTCAGAACATCCCAGCGGCGCCAACTGGGATTGAACCCAGGCCTGCTGGGGTGAGAGGTAATCACACTTACCACTACACCACCGGCGCCGCTTTGTCTTCAGGTTGATTTAGTATAATTTTGAAGATCCTCAACTGCCCAATAATTTAAATCATGTCTCCCAGTTATTCACCCACGATACCAGGTTGCTGAGAAATTGTTGAAAGGACTGTCAGGTGATCATCTTCTTCTTCCTTTTCACATGTCAAACTCATTGCGTGCTTTCAACTTAGTGTTCTGATGCACTTCCACATCTATTATTTGAGGGCTTTCGATGACTTACCAGTTTTTTTCCAGCAGTATAACTGTGTGGCAAGTACAATCATACTCTATGCCCAGGGAAGTCGAGATATTTTCCAACCCTTCAAGACCGAACCGGGAATCGAATCCAGCCACCTCCTCCAGTATGGTCTTGCTTTGTAGCTGCGCCTTTACTGACTGAGCTAAGCGGTCCAGAAAACATTTATACAATACTTTGGAACAACATATGTGTCACTGGTTACATTCCTGAATGGAAGATTTATAAGGATTTTTTTTTCCTCTGTTCGGGACATAAAACTACTGCGATCAGTAATTTGATCTATTCTTGTATATCCCGTGTCCTTAGTTTAGTGCATGTCGTATTACTTCATCACTATTGAAAAATGATGATGTATTCGGTTTTGATACAGTTGTCATTCTTGCCTTCATCGGAAGGAATCGATTCTAATTGAAAGGTCCCGCTATTTATACCCTTCGGAGTGTTGGAACACCCTCCAAAGCCGCGCCCCTTTGTCAGTCAAAATTGGATTCCTTAGCAACAAAATTAAAGAATAACACCGATAATGACCATGCATCAGAACCCTAGTCTTAACCACTTCAAACTAGGGAACAACGAATAGAAGATTAGGAATCACATAGATGAAGACTAACTAACTCATTTTTTCCTTGTTTCAAGATCATCCTCGGTCCAGGCAACCCGAGGACTTATCACTATCAACAAGGCATAAAAAGTAACAAGGACTAAGATGTGTTCCTTTGATTACTGAAAAATCCTGTTCCCCTAGTCTGAAGTAGTCAAGACTAGGAATCGGTGGCTATAAGAAGGATTGACACAAGATGTGCTTCCTTATTCATTACCATCATTCAAACAAATTGATTACCCCGCCCAGGCCCTTCTGAGGTAATGAAAGAGCATAACCCATCCGAACGAAAACCGACATTATTTACGGCAAATTAAGGAGGATTGCACAATATAACTCCAATCTGCTGCTAATACCCTAAATGGGCCTTAACCTAAGACAAATTGATCCATCCGTCTTAGCTAATACTGCTCCTCTGTTGAGATCGTGTATTCCTCCAATTAGTGATGGAGCATTCATTTTTCACATCAACATCCAACCAACAACGTTGATGAACTGGTGGTGGTGGCAGTGTTGGGCGATCACAATCACTTGCTGCCTGATGCCACCGCAATATGGAAAGAGCAGTGAATTAAAGAGAAAAAACTTTCTACCCGGTCGTCAGTGTAATTTTTTAACTTAATGTAATCAGTGAGTCTCGTTTCAGTTCGTCAGTGTTGCAATTGTGTTGGTGCGGTTTGGAAATTTTCTGCAGTGTGTCTGAGTGTGTCCAGCCTCTGAAACATATTATCGCACATGCGAAGAGAGAGTGAAAAAACCGAAACAGACATTCGTCATTTTTGTGAATGGACCAATTGGACCCCGACAGGGGCCAGGGTCATAAAACCGATGGCGCTCGAATTATCGAAGAAAGTGAAGATTTGTTGGTTTACTTAATAACTCTGCTCATAAAATCCATTCAATCAAACGCTGATTCGAGCCTTGATTTGCTTTGCCAAAAGCGCAAGGTGATTGCGGTTAGCGGGTTGAATAACACCTGCACTTAGCCTGGTTTAGCTTCTTTCCCATTCCGCGGGCCGGTTCGGTTCGGACGAAGCGCATCCAAATTTGCCCTATTTTGCTCTCTGCGGTTGAGGAGAGGGCATCTGATAAGCTAAAATTGTAGATATTCTAACGGTGGGCCTCGTCCCGATCGGCCTTTGGCGAAATCTGGTTATTGAATCTTGTTTTTGTGATGTAGCGAATTGAAGCCGTACTGAACTAAAAAAAAATAAGTAGCACTTTAGCGGTGCACTGTCATGTATGCGGCTGTGTGCCTACGTTACAAACAATTTAACCGACCGTTCCATGTCCGTGTCATGCATGCATGCCAACCAGCAGCAGAAGACCTGTGCAATCCCGGGTCTGCTATGTATACTTGATATAGTCAGTGCAAGTTGCTTCACAGTTGCTCGGCTTATCTCACACGTAGGCCTATTTGCCGTTCATTCGATGCAGTAATGAAAATTGGAAAAGAGTAAAACGAGCGAGGAAGAACAGGATGCATGGGCAAAAGTAGCGCGTAATGTTTATCTCGTTGCCCCAGCTAGACAAACAGACCTACTTTGCAGTAGGTAGTGGCTGGTTGGTTCAGGGACGGAGGATGCGATGGGTGATCT